TGGGATAGTGGTGGTAGGCTGGTATGTAGGCACACTTGGTATTGGAATCTGTGGGACAGAGCATCCGAACATCTGCATTACCATAACACAATCCCAATATTCATTGCAGCTGGTGAATGTAGCATTGTTTGGCCTCTGTGCTCTTCTGTTTTGTATAACTAATAGCAAAAGTAGCAAAACAGAAATTTCCTGTGCAGGGAAGTTTGCACAAAACACGCATTATATATTCAGTGCTGTGCGAGCAGCTGCATTTCCTTCGGGCTTTACCTTGGGCAGGTCAGTGGCACCTCTTATCTCCTTCGCCAATGCTTCACCGCTGGGATGGATTCGAGCCACATGGCGCCACATCCTCTCCCAAGTCTCCTCATCCACCGGGAAGCCACTTCTGTTCACATAGAAAGGCACCCCTCCATCCCTCAACTCTTCGTCGCCTTCATCCTCCTGCTCCTCGTCTCTCTCCTCCAATGAGCCAACTGTGGCCAAGAGCATCCTCTCCTTTACCAGGAAGCCCAGCAGAGTTCTGGCACAGAAACGTCCTGACTGATGCCTTTAAATCCTTACACCTTGATTAATCTGCTTGCAGGTTTAAGTAGGTGTCCACGACAGATGGCCAACTCATGACACCGAGTGGATTATGGCATCAGTATTTCATAAAAGAAAGGCTGATCTGCTATAATTAATATTCGCCTCTGTGTCACAGCACGTAAATATGAGGCAGTGGTTTAATAACGTGTCTTAAAATCGTACTGCAATAAATATTAGACACTTTGAAATAAACAATAGTAGACTAAAGGCATTCAATGACCAGAAATTGAAATAAATAAATCGAGACAATAAGGCTACTTAAGGTATAAAATGCTTGGCCTTGCTGTTAATGTTCATCAACAACCAAACACAGGCCAGCCAACATTAACACTCTCGATGCGAGGATTGACTTTGCAGACAGCAAAGTATAAATTCCTAATTCCCCCTTTCGTTAGAGGTCATTCACGCCACAGACATCCAGCAAATCGCCGCTCTCCTGCATTTCCATCTCCCCGGCGCTGCTCACACGTCCGCTTTGTGCGTTTCACCAAACGATTTCCGTCCAAGTCCGCCGGTTCATTGTTCACACAGATGCTCTTCTTGGCTTCAGCGTCTGCGGTTATTCACATCCAACGAGCTACTCAGACACTCCCCAAATCTCTTCTCCTGCGCATGCTCCCTACTTAGCGGATGATCTCAGCAGGGGTACGATGATGCATTTAGGTGCTCCTCGTAAGCTGTCAACCTGAGGTCTGCTTTAGCTTATATTTCAATTTTCCAATTTAACAGTATACTACAAGTAGAAAATAAGGAAATGTACTTCTTGATTATAAAATGTCACATTACTGTTAAATTAGCTCTGAGTAAACATCACTTTACACATTTAACATGGAAAAATGAAAGACAGAAGATATTTCAATAACACGTTTATTCAATGGAAAAAAAATTGTAACAAAATGTTTCAAGAACAAATCACTCAATTAAATTATTTTGCAGTTTGAAATGTGATCAAATACACCCCATCCTCACTAAATGAAACTTCCATCCATTCAAGGCTTATCTAATCCAGCTGACACTGGGTGAGAGGAAGGATACACGCCAGACAGGTCACCAGCTTATCACAGGGGGTGATCATCACAATCATTCACACTCAAACTCACCCATACTGTCAAACCACAATCCCCAGTTAATGTGTTTGTTATATTAACCTAACATGTACGTGTCTCTGGACTGTACAAGGAAGCAGGAGTATCCAGAGAAAACAAAATAAACCTCAATCCTCAATATTTTTTAATACAAATGAAAGGAATAATCAACAAGAAACTTCAGTCTATTTACACTTCTTGGTCAGCTGTAGATACATTAAAATCTTGGAGCACCGTAGTCATCAGGCATCCGCTCGATGTTATACCTGTTTTTAGAATCAGAACAAATTGATTTCAAAGTTAGCAATAACATTATTTTAATTTTATATTTGAAAAACACTTGGAAAATAAAATAGCTACAATCAAAGCTGCCATATATTTTAATTAAAATGCAGAACCCTGCTACCTGTGGTTTGAGATGTACATGATGGGCACTCCAGGGATCTTCCTGACCCTTCTCTTCAGATCTCGGTCAACAGTGGCCAGGATGTAACACTTGTGCTGCGGAAATATTTTTACATAATTTACATCTCCCCTTAGCAACATAGCCAGCGTTAGAAGATGGACATTTATACACATCACAGTTACTATTTGGCAATTTGCCTTTTATCAGAGAACTGATCCAGAAAGCAGGATTAGTGTAAACTTTGAACTCTATCACACTCCTCTTCTTACTGACTGGTTTTCTTTAATAAACCTGAACTGCTTATTTGATTCCTTCTACAAATACACACATACATATATATTTTATCCTGTTTATTTACCAAAATTTTTAGTTTTTATGTTTTGTACCTCAGAAAATGTTTAATAAGATTGCCTTCTTTGCATATAATTTAGTTGCACTTTTGCTTTTGTATAATGACAAAGATTCTGAATATATGTGCTTTGATATCAAGGTATCCATAAAGGAAAATTCAAATCAAGAGTAAATAATAAAAGAGTGGAACACACAAAATAAAATGCAATTCATGGACTTTTTTCCCTTCCTGTTTTCTAATTAATTTGATCAGCCTCTTTTTATGTTGTTGTTTGTTTAAATACCACATATCACTAATATAATATACTCGGAACATATCACAACCTGAACTCAGAGTGATAACACAGAATTAACTGATCTAACTACAATCAGCTGTTCTGGAAACTGAGACTCTGAGGTGATTTTTGCACATGAGACCTGGACGATCTTGAGAAAAATCTGGTTTTAACTTTGTCTGAAAGTGTCCTTTCTCACATGTAGCACACAGCAAAACACTAATCGCTTCAGCTGGGTTCTCACTATTGGAACTACTCTGTTTAATTTCAGCCTGAGTACAGGGTAACCACTCGCCTCATCAAATCTGCAATCGGTGTCTGCAAAGTCAGACTTAAGAGATGCAGCATCATACCTATGTTTTATCATCTGTTTCTTCCTATCAGCAGATCAGACAGATAGACATTAGATATCTGACATTGCCATTTCCGGAAAGCTGACAATGAGCTGGCTAAACAACAACAGCTGATTATAAGCTAACATTATTCCAGCTACTGTTAGGCTAAAGTGTCCTAAAAATCAATTTTCCATCTGTTGAACAGTTTTATTACATTGTCACATTTTATGAAAGTTAATTCAGTAAGTTTCTAAGTCCAACAATGTTTGTTCCACTTCAAAGAAAGTCTTACTAACACCACTAACAGCGGCAAAAACCATCAGTGTCACTGTCATCAGACAGAAGTGAGCTCATATACTCATATCAGATTCCTTTCACAATATTTTATAGCGTTCTCACAGTAAATGCACAAGGACACCAGCTGAGGTAAACAGCAGACTGCAGCAGACAGCAGACCTTTTCTCTACATCCTTTACCTAATATCTTTGTTTAGGGAATAGCTGCAAAGACTCCACTCTAGAGAGTTTTGGAGTTGGTTACGTAGTTCCTTTATTTTCTGTGGTCAATTTTTAAGGCTACCTAATTGTGTTATCTTACTGTTCAGCTCTTGTGTGTGCTGACAAGCAAACAGCTGGTGCAAATAAATTAACACTGACATTTAATTGCATATATTACCTGTGTTACTCGTTGGACTAAACAGTCATCGGCATAAGTTCCCTTGTGTGTGCAAGGCAGACGCTCAAATCTTGGATCTTTTGCTATCCTACAAAAAATAAACGAGGTGAAGACTGTTTCAATAACAAACATAACTTTAAATGCATTCAAGTTTGAAACACTTATTTACATCAAGCAGCCTTTACCTGAGCGCAACTCTGTACTTCATTCCAAGCTTTTCAATCTCAGCCATTACACAGTCTGTAATATATGGTATACCTGGATAGGATGGAATTTATTTAAAAAATTAATATAAACTTTCTGTTTTATTGGATGCTGATATAAAACAAGTGACATACAGCAACTTTATTATTTTCATAAAAAATTCCCACTGAGCACTAATACTTACATTTGGCATAAAGGCAGTCCATCATAGACTGAACAATGTCCAGTTTGGCCTTGATGGAGAAGTTTATAAAGTTTGTGTCAACCAGAATGTGGTATGGTGGGCCAAGCTGAGTGTTGTATTGAAAAAAGAGGCACGATGGGTACTTAGTCCTGCACAAAAATCAAAGAAATGAAACCAAATTCATGATCAAACACTTTTTAACGATCCAATGCGTATTTCTGTTTCGTGGCTAACTTACACTTCTCTCTCCTTCAGCTGCGAAGGGTCTTTCTTCTTTTTCTCTTTTGCTTTGGCTCGGTCTGTCTCTTTTCTACAAAACAAACGATGAGTTGTGGCAGCTTTTTACGTGGGAAGTGGGTGAAGCAATGAACCACATGGCTCTAAATAAAGCAGAGACGCAGAAAGCACTGCCGAAACTTACATTCTTTGGTCCTTGAGACTGATCATTCTTTTCATCGCTGCATATCTCTTCGTTTTCTGCTTCCCCTGCATTGATGAAGCCCAAAATTGATCACAACCAACACTTAACAGCAGAAACTTCAACTGTGTTAATATCCAATTTCTCTAAATAGAGTGACAAAACCTACTCAAAACCTTTTGAAACGTTAACGCTCGTTAAAAAAGATACCGTTCACTGTTTAACCTTTAAAACGTCGCGACTAAAGATCCGATGTGGAAACATTGCATTAGCATTAGCATGTTAGCTTAACGGTAAATCTGCCAAAACCTTCTAACCTTCAAGTTAAAAAAAAAAGAAGTTATCTAACAACAATTGTTAAGTCGGTGATGTTACTCTGATACAGTGAGAAACTACGTACCATTTCAAATTTCAGTGACTGAACCCACAGACCGGCTACAAGTACGACTTGCTACCCTCGTGTTAGCAATGCGCAGACGTAATCAAAAATCGACGCCCGTTCTGCGCATTTTCCGGTGGCTACGCTAGCGCCTCGCAGACGAAGGTAACTGCAGTGTTTAATAATAGTTTGGCTATATTACAATATTGCATTTGTTCAGTTTTGTTTTGTGTAGTCGTGGTTTTGCAAAAGGCACCTGTGACGATATGCACCTTAATAACCATTTTGGGGCAGGCGACGAGATTTCTGAAAGGACGCTGACATTCAGGGCTAACTCTGCTAGCTGTTAGCGTTGTGTTGTCTGGTCGGAGTGCTACTGTAGCAGTTGTTAAGGGTAGCCTTCCCACTGTGTCAACAGACCAGAGAGAATTGATGATGTTGCAGTTAACCTTCCGAGGCTTTTGACCTTCCCAATAAATTCTAGTTAAGCTTTCTGTTTGAATATGTTATTTCTTTAGCTAGCAGATAGTGTGAAAACGTGCTGGCAGCTGAGCTAGCGAGACCAGAATGGTTATCAATATCTGTCATAATCAGTAGCTGCACTGTTGGCCTCTCATTGGATTTGACTTGCATATCTTTGACCCTGTTTGTCCTTACTAAAAGGTTTGTCAGAGCCTCGTTTTTCATACATATTTCAATGCCACGGGTTTCGTATTATTCTGGACATTTAAATATTCATGCTTTGTTGACAGAACAGTCTACAGCCGGGCTCCTTGGTGTTTCCATCTACTGCTTGTTTGAGCAACTTTTTCTTTAAAATCCCATCTGGCTAAACTCGTTTTTCCTCTGTTGTAGGAGATTTGAATAACTCGATGGTGTTTGGTGTTTGAGCACGGAGAAGTCTGAGTGAAGGCTGAAAGATGGTCTGATGGACCGCCGTTTCTTCCTGACCTTCCTCTTCTGCTCACTGTCGTGGATCTTTTTCTGGGAAGTGCGCTGGAAGAAAGGAAAAGAGAGTCAGATCGAGGAATGGCTCAAAGGACATAACCTCTCTCAATACAGAAACTTATTTGAAGGTCAGTGGATCACCTTTGACTTCAATCCTACCTGACCAAAACAATACAGACATTTAGCTGATTTCTTTTTCTTTTAAAGAGCAAGCTGATGTTAGTGATATGTGTGAGAAGACTTGAGTTTTTGCAGAAGTAACAGAGGCAAAAGTATCACTTTCAACTGGATTTACTATGGGTTTATTTCAGAGAGATTGCATTACCTCTAGGTTTGACTCTGATGATATTTTTGTTTTGATCAGTAAACATTCAGACTAAATTGATGCCAGTGGCATGCACATACAAACAGCACAGGCTTAAGCTTTCATTATAGTAGGTTTTAATGAGGATATAGACGTTTCGGGTCATTATACTGATGTGGATTTACTGGCAAGTATGAGTATTGGAGATTTTATATGCTGTTCATGTGCCATCCAGATGTACACACACTTGAGGAACTGAGTCTGAGTGTTCTTAGTCGTTTGGAAGAGGTGGTGAAGGAACAGCAGCGCTGGAGGGAGATTGCAGAGGCTCACATCCAGCTGCTCCGAGACTTTGCCTTCCAGGAGTGGCTTTGCTCCCAGAACCTGGAGCACTATTATCATACGTAAGCAATGAAAAGTCTTAACTTGAACATTTCTACTAATCTGGTATGAGCAGCAACCCTTTGATGTAATCAATTACTTTTTGCCTTGTCATAAATATAGATTATTCCAGGTGATTTCTAAGATTTTGTTAATTTTTTTTAACGCTTTTTAAGTTGTTTCATGTTGGTTAACACACACTAGGGGCGATCGTGGCTCAAGAGTTGGGAGTTCGCCTTGTAATCGGAAGGTTGCAGGTTCGAGCCCCGGATTGGACAGTCTTGGTCGTTGTGTCCTTGGGCAAGACACTTCACCCGTTGCCTACTGGTGGTGGTCAGAGGGCCCGGTGGCGCCAGTGTCCGGCAGCCTCGCCTCTGTCAGTGCGCCCCAGGGTGGCTGTGGCTACAATGTAGCTGCCATCACCAGTGTGTGAATGTGTGTGTGAATGGGTGGATGACTGGATATGTAAAGCGCTTTGGGGTCCTTAGGGACCAGTAAAGCGCTATATAAATACAGGCCATTTACCATTTATGTCCACTTGAGGGCACCCTCTCCATTCACGGCTAGCGGAGTCTGCTGACACTGAGCTGTGTAGGCTGCAGTGTTTTGGAGGGTCACTGCAGTAAAAAGCATTCTTTAGAGACTGCATTTGTGAGACCCTGCAGTAATGCAGATGTTTCTGTATATGTGTTGGGTGCTTTATTCTGATTCAAACAGAACCAGCTATGATTAGTATTAGTTATTGCGCTATCAAAACAATAAGTGTGCTGGGATTCTTTTTTGAGTAAACTTTTATGTTTCTAGAAGTCAGCTTTGTTTCGGAAACATGGAAAATCCTGTTTGTTAGGAAGATTCCTGACATTTTTAGTGGGATACAGTGTCACATTTCTGAAGGTCATGGCTGCAACACTATAGCTGCCTCCACTGCTGTTGGCTTTTATGTAAGCCTTCATTGCCCACATCATTTTTTTCTGTGCTTTTGGTTCAGTAAAGAACTGAAAAAGCCAAAGTTAATTATTAATTTTTTTAAAATCAAAATATAGTGTAAGTGGGGATTTAAAGTTGCTTTTAGTATTAGTTGTACCATTATTGTCAGTATGTACATATTAAACTGAGACAGCATCGCGCATGCTGATTAACAAAGGATAGAAAAGGCAGTCTTACAGTTGATTTGATTTTAGTTATTCAGATAATATTTTATACTAATCTCTATTTTTGCCCATAAAGATCATGCTGTGAAAGCGTAATTAGAAAGTGCACTTTATTGATCCCCGTGGGGAAATTCCTCTCTGCATTTAACCCATTCACTCAGTGAAGCAGTGGGCAGCCACTGGGCGCCCGGGGAGCAGTGTGTAGGGACGGTACCTTGCTCAGGGGTACCTCAGGGTAGCTGTTCAGGGGAATCAAACCCCCGACCTTCCAGTCATGGGGCCACCACTCTGAGCTATCCCTTTTCCCTGCATGATCTCGGTGTCAGCTGACACAGAGACAGTATGAACATTTGTTTTAGAGGATTAAAGGTCTTCTTTGTATTTATTAATACACTGTATTTATCCAGTCCATTGTTGCTGATCTGATTTCGAGCTAATGTTGTCAGGAAGGTTTTATAGGATGCCTCTAGCTAGTAAAAATATGTATGAGGGATCATTTGTGCCAGATGCAATTAGTGATGCTGTGATGTTTTTTCTGAAGTTTTCTGTTGTATATTTATTAATGTGTGCTGATAATTATCAGTATATTTATTTATTATTGATTTGTGACTTGGTGAACCAAAGATGATTTTCCATTAATCTGGACAGTAGCGTTATTATAATTCTAATAATCTTTTGCTGTTGGCTCATCCAGTATTTTCCTCCTCCATGTACACCACAGGAATTAGATTTTTTTTTTTTTCCCTCAATTTATTTTATTTATTTTGAAAAAGGCTTGTTGGAACATGTCATCCGATGTAGCTTTTGCAATACTGGAGTAGTTTAGGAGATAAGATTGAGGCTCCTGGCCTGAATTGTACTTAAACCAGATTTTGTTAAGCATGCCGGACGGGTTGTGTGTGTGGCTGGAACTGCATTCTTGTTTAACAGACCTTGAGTTAGTTAGGTTTCAGTCCCGAAGCCTAAAAGAAAGGTGGTTGCTTAATGCTAGATTCATTTCTATTACCTGCTTGACATACTTTCACTTTTTGTTTTACACTGCAGACTGAAGACCTTGGGTTGTATGAATTTGGATGACCTCTCTCAGTTTGACAGTCAGCTGCAGCTTTCTTTAGCTGCCTGGGGCTACTACTACGAAGACTACATAAAGTTGTCTACAGGCATCAAGATCCTCCAGACCTCCAGGGGGAGTCGTGACCAGGACTACGAGATCCGGCTGGTGCACAGCCTCGCTGAGAGACGTCTGAATGAGAAGTGGTCATTTGGTGAGACCCTGATCACGTTTTTATTGTTGCCTTTAAAGAATGTTAGTTGTGGTTGCGTTCCCCAGCTGCAAAGTATCAACAGGCATTCAGATACAACATATAAACCGAAGTACTGTTTGCTTAGTCTTTTCAAGGGTTTTCGCAAATGTTACTCAAAGAAGCATAGATCATTTGAAAGCAGCTCAAATTCTCTAATGGAGAAGTTATGTGTTACTTCATCTGTCTGACAACAAAACAACTCTCTACCTTACCAGCTTTCCTGTTGTTTAACAGGGTGTGGTTTTTCATACTAAAGGACAAAGCTGGACATTTTTGTCACACCCTTTCTTTGCATTTGATTTAAAAATAAATTTAGTGGTATCGAAGACCTACCGAATTTACATAATAGGAAAACTATGTGCTAGAGACAAAGGAAAGTGCAAGCATTGACACGGACTCTGCAGACAAGGAAGAGGAAGTGAGTAGTTTCTACAATTGACGTAATCAATAGTGCATTGTGTTACTGTCTTCTCAGCGGGAGCTCTCATATTTGGCTGTAGTGTGGCACTGTGCTTCTTGATAAGGGACCTCATGTTTTACGTGATTGGTGAGTACAACATTATCTGGTAGTGTAAGAGTTGATATGGTTGGTGTTTACTTGTATGTGACTGATTTTTATTCCTGCTCACACTTTGGCTTTAGTTGGTGCTGCTGTTTTTTTTTTGTTTTGTTTTTTAAATAGTTGGTGATGAAACGTTGCTTAAACTTTAGTTATTTTAATACTGAAATGTTTTTTGCAAACATGAGTTCCAACTCTTGTGCTTCTTTCCTTCTCGTGGCAGGTGGAATTACTGTTTCCATCATAGCGTTTGTCTTTACCATCAAGTTCCTCTGTGAGCTTGCGGCAAGGGTGGTCAGCTTCCTGCAGAATGAGGATCCAGGGCGACGCGGTGATCGTAGCATCTACGACTATGTCCGGGGAAACTACCTGGACCCACGTTCCTGCAAAGTGTCGTGGGACTGGAAGGAACCACAGGAAGTGGGACAGACTATGAGTTTCAGAGTCCAGGTCACACTAGATTCTAGATGTTGAGAACGGAAAAAGAGATGATAATAAAATCTCATTTCAGTATTAAATGACACTTTTTATTTTTCTATTTTCGCCTTTTCAGCTGTTCTATAAGAATGGTCAGCCTTTCCCAGCACATCGGCCTGTGGGGCTGAGGGTCAACATTACCCACATTGAACTGGCCCTGGACATCCCTGTCACACAGGAAGTCCTGCAAGACCCAGAGTCCAATGTAGTCAAAGTGGCTTTTACAGTACGCAAGGCTGGACGCTATGAGGTTGCAGTCAAGCTGGGTGGACTGAATGTGGCCTATAGCCCTTATTACAAGATATTCCAGCCAGGTAGATGCATAAAATGTTTTCATGCAGTTTACATGTCAAAACAAAGTCTTTATTTTGGATGACTATATTTCTGTTCTCTTTTTCACTTCAGGTACAGTTGTTCCATCCAAAACCAAGATAGCCTACCATTTCTCCACCCTGGTGCTAACAAACGGACAGCGGCACACTTTACAAATTGAGCCCAGAGACGAGTATGGAAACCCTACTAGTAACTCCACATCTCTGACAGATGAAGCAAACTACAGTGTCCATGTGCACTCTGTAAGCGAGTGAAACTCCTGTTCTTTTACCCATTAAACTGAGATTATTTTCTTGATGATGACTAGTATAAAACCTAGGATTAGTTTTTATTCTTAAGTTGCACAATTGCACAACCATTAGCTTTAGAACTAAGCTTGGATTCATTTGTAGTCTTTCTGCTCTTTCAGCTAGGCACAGCAGACGATGACAGTCTGGAGGGCCTCTACAGCAAATCTGTTTCAGTCAACAAGCAGCAGTGCCAGGTCCTGTTGAGACTGACCCTGAAGAAGACTGGTTGTTTCAGGGCTCGCATCTCCTACAAGGATCAGCCGCTCAGCAATGGGGAATTTGACATAATTGTTCTCAGTGGTGAGCAGCTTGTACGTGCTGAAGAGAAATGTATTAGCTACTGTTTTCATAGCCTAATGCTCCTCTTTGCATGTCACATTGCAGAGAATGAAAAGGCCTGCGTGGAGAAGAATGTATCCACTCCTGGCATAAGCATCTACTTTGAGGCATACCTTTACAGCAGTGGGAACTACAGCAGTTCATCGTGGCAGTTACCAGCCTCCTCTTTGTTGGCTCCCCAGAGGAGGCCCTCCATGGGAGAAGAGGAGGATGAACATGACTCTCCTGTGGAGGGACAACCTGAGAAGGTCAAGAAACCAAAAAAGGTCTACTGTTACATATCGCCAAAGGTAAGTGACCGGTGGCAATATAATGGTTAGGTATTGGAACCAGAATCACCTTTACTGTCCTCGTCCTCTAGATCAGTGCCCACATACATACAGACCTATTTACACAAAAGCTTTAATACCTGGATTATATTTTATGAAGTAATAATTGAAACACTTCAGTTGTTCTTGTATGCTTATTGTCTCTTCCAATTTATTTATTTTAAATTCAGAGATTTTAAAACTGCCGGTATGAAAATATGAGGGCATTGAACCTGAGTTTTTTCAAACAGCAATTATCCGTGAAGGAATTCTACCTGAAAATTATTCCATGGCGCCTTTTCACCTTTCGAGTATGTCCAGGAACAAAGGTAAGCAGAACTAATGTTAGACAATCCTGGAGAATCGGTATATATATTTTTAGATCGCTTTGTTTTATACGTGGTTAATGTTTAATTGCATTATTTTCTTTAGTTTACCTATTATGGTCCTGACCCAGTTCACAAGTACCTAACTCTAGTAGTGGATGATGGGATACAGCCTCCTGTGGAGCTAAGCTGCAAGGATAGGAACATCATGGCTGCCACCTTCATTCGCTTCCTGCACAAGAATATTGGTTTGTTTGAGTGGAACGCCGTTACTTTTGCACGATCTGCACTTAGCAAATACCGTCTCTTTGGAAAACTGTAGTAGTAATTTAATAATGTTGTTTTTAGGCGGCTCTGAAACGTTCCAAGACAAGGTGAATTTCTTTCAGCGTGAACTCAGGCACATCCATTCCAAGAGACCTCGCACCAAGACCTGCCTAAAAGTCAGCCGACACGCCATTCTGGATTCAGTAAGTCTTACGCCGTATGTTATTCTTTCTAGTGGAAAAGCAGAAGAATAGACATAATTTGTCTAATCCAGTGTGTAATATGTGGTATGTAATTTAGTTCTCCAAAACAGTGCACCAGAATGACGTTAAGCATTAAAGTCCGAGGTTTATTAACAAAAACATTTATTACCAATGTTTTCTAATTTATAAAAAAAAAAAAGGTTTAGAGGAAAGCCTTTTTAAATATCAGCTCACATGTCACTCTGACCTTTTTCCAAAATGTTTTTTCTATGATGCCAAACACGGTGAAACAGTGCTCCCTTTTGTCTGTGTGTGTGTGTAGTACACATGTCTGATATATTCCTGCATAAGAGTTGAACTTGGCAGGAGTTACAGGATTTTGCATTAACCAAATGGCGCGTGTTAATCTGAGGCATGATTTCACCATCTGAGTATGAGCCCCACACACACACACACACACACACACACACACGTCAGTCCTCTGAGATTTCAGTTTCCAAGTGTTTTTTGCTTTACATTTAGGACGTTCTATTTACTCTAATCAGATTTATTGTTTTATTTTTTTTATTATAAGCTATGTTTTAAGACCACAGGTGTAATCATAACAGTGACGTGACCATTATGATCATATAGACTGTTTCAATTGTCGTTTTTGTTCTTTGTTCAGTCATTGAAGGCCACGAGGAACTTCTCAGTGTCTGACTGGAGTAAAAACTTTGAGGTCGTGTTTCAGGACGAGGAAGGTAAACGCACAATCAACACGAGGCCTATTGGAGAAATGACATTTTGCCTCAAGCACTTCACTTAAAATCAGAAAAGGATTTAAGGTGCGTTAAAATCTTTCCTCTGCAGCTCTGGACTGGGGCGGTCCACGCAGGGAGTGGTTTGAACTGATTTGCAAGACCCTCTTTGACACATCGAATCAATTGTTCACCCGCTTCAGTGACAACAACCAGGGCCTTGTGAGTTTCTGTTTTCAACCCTTTGTATGTTCTGTATACACCATCAACACTTAGTTTTGAAACTCACAGAGAGTATTCGTCTTCATTTTCCAGGTACACCCAAATCCCGAGAGGCCACCCCACTTGCGCCTAAAGATGTATGAGTTTGCGGGTCGCGTTGTAGGGAAATGTCTGTATGAGTCTGCTCTGGGTGGAGCCTACAAACAGCTGGTTCGAGCTCGCTTTACACGTTCCTTCTTGGCCCAAATCATTGGCCTGAGAATGAACTACAAGGTATGGAACGCAGTGCATTCCAATTAAAGAGACACTTTGCTCAGAAGTTGGAAGGTCACATCTCTATTGTTTATCCTCTAGTGTCAACTGTTCTATCTCATCACTTAAACATTCCTGACAAAGCCAAGAAACCTCATTTCTTTCTTGGCATTATTTATTTAACAGAAAACTACCCAATGTGTTTGGCTGTTTATCCAAATAACTTCGCCTTCAAAGTTGAGAACTCCAGTCCACCCAGTCATCTTTTTATCCTTCCCTGCTAGAAGATGAAGTACCGTGTTTATTTAAAAATTTAATAAAAATTTTTTCCCTGGGTTTTCGTTTGGTTTTCCACATGCAGTACTTTGAGACGGACGACCAGGAGTTCTACAAAACTAAAGTGTGCTTCATCCTAAACAATGACGTGAGTGAAATGGACCTGGTGTTTGCCGAGGAGAAGTATAGCAAGTCGGGACAGCTGGAGAAGGTGAGGCAACACTTTGGAAAGGAACCTCCCCTTATTTTATTTTATTTTATTTTTTTAAGTACTGATGTAGGAGATCCCAGGAGATCGAAGCAGTAAACCAAGCAAAACAAACCATATTGCTTGTTTGGCTAGAGCCTCAATTTTTCTTAAAAGAGGAAGAGTGGTGAGTTTATATAAAAGGATGGACGAGTAGAGTTTGGCATTCTTTATAAACTTTGTTGTTCACTTGTAAAATATCACCCAAATAGCTGGCTGCATAAATCTGTGATGAAACAGAGCTCAGACTCGCAGATTTTTAATTAAATAACGACGTTACTTCATCAAATTGTTTCTTTAACATTAAAATGAATTGCCCAAATATTTATAAATTAGCTGAGAAGTAATGTGACATTTTTCAACAGGGTTTCTGGTCTTATATGTACTAATTCTTTCCTCTGGTTCTTGCTGTTACTTGCCAGTTTTCAACATACCTTAAATGTCATTTTCACCCCGTCGTCCTCTCTTCCAGGTGGTGGAGCTTATATCCGGTGGAGCTCAAATTGCTGTGACCAATGAAAACAAGATGCATTATCTTAACCTGCTGGCCCAGTATAGACTGGCCAGTCAGGTAAGAGATGAGGTGGAACATTTCCTTAAAGGTAAGGAAATGAAGCTAGCACACAGCTGCATTTTTGCATTTGTATTTTTCTTGCCAGTTCCTCTCATCTGAGATCTCTGGTAATGTGCACATAATTGGTGCATTTTTCCTGATCAATTGCAGGTTTGAATGAACTGGTTCCAGAAAACCTGCTAGCCATATTTGATGAGAACGAGTTGGAGGTATGTGCGATGTATTGTAATGAAGTCCTGCTGACATTTTAATCAACACCGGATATTTATGGATTTTTGTGCTTCTAGCTGCTGATGTGTGGCACTGGTGACATAAACGTACAGGACTTCAAGGCCCACGCTGTGATTGTTGGTGGATCATGGCACTTCCGAGAGAAGGTACGTCACGGACGCTTTTCTTATCTTGCCTGCTTCCCTAGCAGCTGGTGGAAATGTCTGATCTTGTTTGCTTTTCCTTTTTCCTTCCCTCAGGTGATGAAGTGGTTCTGGGCGGTGGTGTCCAGCTTCACGCAGGAAGAACTGGCTCGTCTTCTGCAGTTCACCACTGGCTCCTCTCAGCTACCCCACGGCGGGTTCAACACTCTTTGCCCCTCGTTCCAGATCATCGCTGCCCCCACACATAGCACTTTGCCCACTGCACACACCTGGTGAGTAGAAGCACACATACTGAGAAAAAAAAACATGCCTCAACAGTGCTGCTATGTGTTTTTCTGACTGCTGCCAAATCCTGCATCATGTCTAAAACCAACAGTCTTCTCACTGATGATATAAACCTTTAAGACCAGATCACACGTACAGTAAAAATCTTTAATTGTACAAAAAAAATGTTATTCAAACGGGAGAAAATAGCACATTTCTGTGGAATAGCTTCAGTGGCTTATTTATACATACTAATGAGTTTTTTATGGCAGCAACAGGATGGCATACATGGGACTGAGTCAAAATAAACTGTGTGAGAGAGTGAAAAAAAATCCCCACTGCAACACCATGGCTCACTGATATGTTTTTAATAGTTGTTGGAAACAATAGAGCTCTGTGATGGTGTGTTTTGCTGTATCACGTCTGGAAATGTTTAAAATCATTTCCGTTTTTGGTTTTTTAATTTGATTTTTTTTTTCTCTATACATAAGAAATAATGTAATATCAGCCCGTTCTCCTTTTCAAATCAACAATAGTTCAACCACATGCTGACTCTCTGTGTCTGTCTAGTTTTAACCAGCTGTGCCTCCCTACCTACGACTCCTACGAGGAGCTGCACAAGATGCTGAAGCTGGCCATCAGCGAGGGCAGTGAGGGTTTTGGCATGCTCTGACTCTTCCATCAACTGGCACTGTGGTTTCACACATACAAGAGACCAGCACTGCTCCACTGCCCTGGTTTCCTGCATTCGTTCACATTTATCGGGTGGACTTGTTGGCACTCTCACCCTCTCTAATAAATACCCTCTCTCAAGATGAGCGAGCGTTTCAGGAAGTCCCAGGAGGCTGTAGTGAATCTCGTATGAACTCTAGTGCTACTGTATATAAAATATTCCACTTTTGTATAAGGAAAAAAAGACAAAAATGACAAAATTCCAACTGCTGAAAAAGGGTGTTGGACAGTTTTTATTTCCTGATGCTAAAGTTTGCTTAGTTTTATATGCTTGAGAGACGAGTAATACTAGAGCAAAAGCCTTGAGTATAACTGTATAACTGCTTCTTTGGCATTTTGCAAACTGAGGAACACTTAAGTGCAACAGCAGCCTACATGTGACGTGGGTGACACGTGCATCTACAGCACTTTGGCCTTAATCGATCAGGGACTGATGTGTGTATGTAAATATTATAATATCACTCTTTAATTTGTACATACTAGCGCGTATACAAATGTTTTCATCTTGTTACTTTTTGATTTAATATTTAAGGAGAAGGGATTTACTTTGCTGTTGCACGTCTGATGGGTTGAGATTTAATATAATTTCTACAAGTTGTTGTTTTGTTTTTTCTATCTGAGCAGAAGTGGTTTTAAAAGGAGCCAAGTGATATTGTTTCTATATTTACATTTTAACTTATTGTGTCTTGAAGGTAAAGTTTCTGTTGTCCCTTAATCTTTGTTTTTATGTTTTATAAACCCGCCTTATTCATGCCCTTTGCCTCTGATTGTATCCCGGGAGGTGCGTAGGTGAGAGAAACATACTCAACAATAGTAGGTGATAGTCATGTTATGATTTTTCTCTTATCACATGCAGAGGTTACTGTGGATGTGAAAGCTGTTTGGGTGTTGGAGGGCTGAGCCCTTGTATAACATTTTGTTATAAAATGCTTTTGACTGACTCATTCACAGCCTTTCATGGGTTTACCTCAGAATCTCCTTTGCCACCTATGCATCCTCTGACACAGGTGTGTGTTTTCATGCACATGCATGGCAAACGTGCATACGGTTTGTTCATAGTTGCCTCCTTCCAGCCCTGACTGTACAACCTTTAGCCATATGCTCCATCATCCTGTAAGCTGAGCAAAGCATCTTTGAACAATAAGCCCTGTTTGTTATATTGTTGTAAAACTATTTATTTTTATTGCTGTTAGTTTTGTTGATATCCTGAGCCAACAGAAGTGTTTCCTTGTTTATTTGTTTGTTTTATGAAGTTTTTTTCTTATTTATTAGCACTTCCTTTTGTGTTGCAGAGTTTACATGGTCATTGGCCAATTTGGAGAAGTCTGCTGACAGCTTGTAGAGCATTTAGGAAAAGTGATGTTTACTCATAGCAAACAGAAAATGTTAATCGGTAATGATTCTTCTTAGTAGTGTTTTGATTAGTTTTGCCCCGTAAGCAGTCAAATTTGACTCAAGAGATTGAACTTAGTAAATGGCAAAGAAATCCCATTTTGACAGTAGGTGTTGGATTTATTTGCATTGGCTCCTCAGTGCCAATCGACTGTCAGAGCTTTAGCTGATCTTACAGTGTTAAAGAAGTTTGAAGGTTTAGGCGCTCGTGTTTGTTTGGGTTGTGCAATGTTGACCTGACCTTCAGCACCAGTACCAAAAGCTGACATCATATTTATCCAGCACAAAGCGTAAGCATTACTTGTACGACTTGATCAGTGTAAACAAGTATAACTGAGTTCTGTCCTGTAATTTTATGTTGCTTAATGTTTTGCTCTTCATGATCATTTACTACGGTTTTCTGTTTAGATGCTTTTTGGATCAGATGGCCTGAGTGTGATTTTTAGCGATTTAGATGTTGTGAAATATTTGCCTATGAAGTTGAAGATGGGTGGGGTCCGGGGGGGAGGGTGGGGGTAATTTTTTCCTTTTACTTCTTTGTTTTTGTTTGTTTTGGGTTTTTTAATGAGCCTCTGCTGCTGATGAATGTTTGAGATTCTCTGGATGGAGCTACTTTGTTTATGGGAATAAAAATGATGGAATAAATTCTTGTCATCTTATTTCAACCTCTGTATTGTATTTATCTTATCTGAAGACGTGTTATTACACACCCCTATTTCCACCCAAAAACCCAGTCTATGGTTTGGTGCCTCACATGTGCTGGTTTGAAAATTGACCTTGATCTGACCCTAAAACACCCTGTAAACTAAAGTGGCGTTCATTTAGAAAGCTGGGATACGTGTAGTGCTTGAGAATAAGACTTTCTTGGCCAGATGAATGCATGTTTTAGACACAAGAGGGCACTGGCTCTACATGTGACATGAGCTCACCATGAGTGACAGATGCGTGCTGCATCTTCTATAATCCCCACAGACAGGTTGGCTGCAGTGATGAGGGAGCTTTCCTGTCTTCAGATAACCGTCTGTACTTTAAGTCTTCCACACAGAGGGAATCCCTCCATTTACGAGCATTTCTCATTCTCTCCTCCATGCTTGCAAATACAAAATAAAGTTAATTTAACTTGGAGGGGTAAATTAAAATTTGTATGATGGTTCCTAAATGCAGAAAGCATAATGGGGGGGATGGCTTCCATCATATGGAGGCAGCTGCAGCAACACAGGATGTGATAGAAGTACACTCTTGCCCTCCTGTTTGTTTTCTCAGTTGATGTCTGATAAGCCCTCAACTAAGAAAACATCTTTAATGCCTGTGGCTATGCAGGTCCTGTGGCCATCAGCACGATACCCACATATTCCTGGCGCGACTCCACGTACTGTGGTCTGAACACTATCAGGAGCCGGGAGAAGGCATCTTGAAGTACTTGGAGGCAGAAGTCCAGTTATTTGGTCTTGGCATGCACCTGTGGATTTGCATAATGGTCTCTCTCAAATTTCCCCCAGGAATGCTCGCTAAAGAGGGACCACAAATCAGAAAGTCGTCCTCTGGCATCTAACTAAGAATAATGTACCATGTTGGAAAGGCCTTCTTTCCTTACAGAACCCGTGGGAGATCGCGCAGCAACAGTACAGTGTTGTTTTTTCGGTGTGTTTTTTAAATAAATGTAAATCTGATGATAAAAATTCCCTAGAAAATATGTTTCTCAGACAAATTTTCCATGCACTATTCCATAAACAACTCCAGACCCAACTGTAGCTTGGTTTGGAGGTTTAGGGTTTGCCAAGTTCCTGGAGGGGGGGGAGAGTCAATTTATGGGTGGTTCTCTTCGACCAAAGAATTTACTTACTCATTTCCCACTTCAGACACCCCCTGCCTCCGAGGAGATGTCCGTCGGTTTCTCTGATCAAAGATAATTGTCCGCAGACAGGGATCCACACAAGGGAGACAACACAAATGTGGCACGCCTATATGCATCTTTAGAACATGACCGCGCTCTCTTCCCTGCTAAACAGCCGTGGGGGTTGTCTGCTTCCCATTCCAACATGCAGGTCCTCATTACCTGATTGGACGGTGCTGATTAACTGCCAACTGGATTGGCTGCAGATATTTATCATCTGCGATGATTGGGCCAATTTAGACTCCAATCTTAATCAGGGTTGTTGAAGGACAGCAGCAGGCCGGGACTTCAGTTCTCTCCAGGAAGTTCACCGTTACTGTACACAATCTAGTGATTTCATGTTACATGCAAATGCGTCCAAACCCTCCCAAACATCAGCTCTCTTCATATGCTGGTCCTCTAGAAGAAGCAGAGTATGAAAGAAGAGCCTCCCTCCATCCGCAATGGCTTACCACAAACGCGACTTTGACTGTTTTGGCTTTTTGGGGGAAATTCTGCCTCAGCTGTGCCTTCCGAAGTTGGCCTATCAGCATCTTAGAAGTGTGGTTCTGCTATTGACGTTGTTGAGGATTATGGAGAAAACAGCTGTAAGAAATGCACATCACAGTGATGACAATGGTCTGGCAACTGAGTGCGGCACAGGAATGTATGGATGGGATGTTACTGCTGATTAAAGAGATTTTTTTCCCCGTGATCTCTTGATATTTCACAGATTCTCTGTTGCTCCTATCAATTCTTCTGTTATTTAAGTGATGAGATCTGGCTCTCAACACTTAGGCTGAGATGACTGCAAGTCTACCTGGAACAGCACGTAAAAGCGGCCTGACAAAGGAGAAAGGGCCTTGTTTGAATACATTCCTCTGCCGGGAACAGGACCGCCAACATGTGCTTTGTTTTGAAAGTGATATAAACGTCCATGCGTACAGCTGAGGTCAGAGACAAGCAGAAGCACGCGTATTGAAAAACGGCTAGCGCGGAGATTAAGTGTCCCCCAGCTGATGGCTGTCTATATTATATATGATGCTGGAATGTGCCTATTGATTCATGGGGTTAGCTGTCCTGCTGGGATGTGCAGCTGCACTGTATTTGATATGTTGGGAAACATTTCAGTAGTTCTATTTCTTTTGTAATAACAGGGACTCTAATGTTGATTGTCTAACTGTCTGAGAAATACCCCATGCTGCTCCGCCCTTATTGTTAGCACAGTTGTCACTATAGCGTGTGTGAATAGGCTGTGAATGTTAACAGCATGGGTCGCGGTCTAGTTGAGTCTGTCACCTGACCATTTTAATCTAGACTGAAACATCTTGACAGTTTTGTACAATTTGTCTCCTAGTGACTTTCCTCAACTTTTCCCCATAACACTAGGCTTTTCTTTTGTGTCTGCTGGACTCATTGTCAGTGGGACAGACTTGTCCTGCATCCCTCTCAGAAAACTGAAATATCTCAGCACTACTCTGTACATTTAGGCATTTGTGGTTTCCCCAAGTTAGTGATGTTTGATTTCTCTTCAGCTGCTGAATTTGACGCAGATCTGCTACAGCTCATCTAATGCTATCACGAGATCAAAAAATCTATTTTTAGGGGATTTATGATAACAAAAAATTATGATAATATCTTTTCTAGTGTAATACTATAGTACTAAAGTCTTTAGCCTGAACTCTCTTAGGCAGCTTTCTTGTCAAGCGGTCTTCAGGAATAGTTCTCCAGGCTTCTTGTAGGACGTTCACTGCTCTTTGGATGTTGGCTGCCTTTTGTTCTGTTGTCTGTCAAGATGATGTTGGGTGTTTGGGATTATTGTCATGTAAAAAGAAAATGAATCGGGTGCCATTCAGATGCTTTCCAGATGGTATTACATGGTGGATCAAAATCTCACTGCACTTTTCTGTTTTCATAATTCCATTAATATTGAGAAGATCCCCAAACCCCAGCGATTAAAATGCAGCCCAACACATGACAAAACCCCCCACAGTGTTTTAGAGATGACTGTCACTCTCACTGTTGTTCCTCTCTCCTGACCTCTTGGACCTATTGGTGACGTTTTGAACCAAAAACTTCAGTTATGGATTAATTACTCTGATTTTACCACAGATTTACCAGTTCTTGTGTAATTCTTCTCCCCATTTCCCCTCCTTAAGAATGGCTTCTTGATAGCCAAACTTCCACTGAGACCATGCTTAGTTATGCCAAGTTTTATGGCTTTGGGAATCAGCTTGTTGTTTGAATGGGGACAAATGATGATTTTGCAATAGGCTGCTTGTAAGTGCCTACAGATACAATGTAACATTGGTTCTTTGCTAAGTTGTCTGTTATATGTAGACACAACATTGACTCATCCCTTGAGTTAGGTTCCTTCTTTATGCTTGAATGTTTCATAGCCCAGTGTTAAGTTTCCGTACAAACTGGACTGCAAACGAATGAAAAAGCAGAAAAGACTTCAGCAAATAATATTGCTGAAGAGCACTTTCAAAGTCACAAGAAAGTCTGACACCTTGGAAGTGAGATATAAAGAAATGAAGGGTGGCTCAAGACTTTTGCACAACACTGTATACTGCAAACACTGTTGGATATTTAATTCCAATACAGCTTTACCGAGCCACTAGTCTGACTCTCAGCTCTTTTAGTACTTCTGTCCGTATCCTCATAAAGTTTCCCATATCAAATTGTCCCTTTTACTGCGCGCATGTAAAATGCTTCATACAGTTTCTGAACCATGAAGAAGAACAGGACTGTTTACAACAAATTCTTCTGGCGTGACAAAAAGCTGCATAACTCTGGTTTTTGTGCCACAAGGTCAGGATCAAACTAGCTGTCATGAATTCTGACTCCCACAGTTATGCAAATAGAAATATTAGGGTCTAGTAGAAAATGACCAATAATAAGCCTGGCATTGGTCCTCTTTCCAACCACATCCACTCCAAGTCAGTAGAGTGCTCCAGGCCAGTGGGCTGATCCCAAGCACTGTAATTATTCACCAAGGAAGCTCAGTATGTTCAGCACAGTCGTCATATTTTGTACTGTCCTCTACTCTGTGTATTACAACAAACTTGGCTTATTTGGCAATTCGCTTCCAAATGACAATACAGGTGCCTTTAATATATTTTGATTTATAAACTGTAACAGTGGATTCAAGTGCTTTATTTCCTTATTAAATTAAAATAAAAAGAGCTGCTTAAGGTTTACCCACAGTTCCCCTGCACAACCTAGAGCTCCTTATTTGTAAAAAGCACTCCACTGCTGGTCTGCGGCTTGGGCCAGATCACTACAACGTGGAACTCTGACAGCTTTTAGTCATCCTCGGAGGTACGGTTTTCTTACTCAGGGGGGTAATAAATACATTCATACTTTCTCCGGTAAGAAAAAAAGAGGCTTTAAATGGATTTCACTGACCACAGCAAAGCAAATACAACAATAGTAACCACATCTGGCCAACACATGTGCCATCTTTTTTTGTGTACATATCAGCAGCATCCAGCTCACAGTGTGTTTACAGCACGGAGCCAGATATCACCTTCTCTTCTGTGCTGTGAAATTGAAACTGTTGAGAGGACAGAAG